CAAAAGTTCAATATTGACCTCTACTTGGCAGATCAATGGACTGTATGATAGTCTCTTTTGATACAATTTGTAATTGAACACTAGGCTCAGTTTAACAAACACTTTATGTCAGGTACTCTGCTGAACATTTGAGACACAGTGATTAAAAGATAGTCACTGTCCTCACAAACAGATAATCACAGCACACATAGGTCAAGCCAGTGACAGAGCAGGGCTGGGTGCTGTATGAGAGACAAAGGGGGACTCCTCACCCCGGGCAGGGAAGTGGGGAGATGGGGAGGTGAAAGGTAGAGTTCAAGGAAGGTTAGTTGGAAGAAGCTCCAACAAAACCGACAATGAATTTTCATCTTAAAAACAAATATTGAATATTGTTTACCATGTGAAGAGCAAATGCTAAAATTTTAAAAAATGCATCTTCTATCGGTGGGAAAAAGTATATATTTAAGACAACTGTATGGGCTTGATTATCATTCAAACAGATTGATCTAAGAAGTAAAATTCTTGGAATTTGCTCAGACTCTTGCCAAAGCATATTACTCAAAATCAGATTAATTTCCCAGGAAAGTGATCAATTGGAGGCTTAACATGCAATGCTAATATACAAATGTGTCAAAAGTCAGTCTCCTTCTTTTAGAGGTGATTCCATAGAATTTAATCAGAGCTTATAGATCAGATGAGTTTTCATTTGTACATACTTTCTGTACACAATCGATGCAGTCTGCAGTTTGCTTTTGCGGAAGCTACCTCAGTTTCCGCTTCCTTCCATTTGACTTTGCAATAACTCTAGATGTCCACGAAAGTTGCATATGACTGCTATTGCGACACATGTGAATTACTTAGGAATAGATATTTCCAATTTGTTTTACCTTGTTTGTTTTACCTTGATTCCATGATTGTCTTAAAGTCTAGTCTATCAAAACATTTTTAAAGTCCTTGAGTTCTGTCCTCACTAATTGGGAAAGCATTCAGAAGTGATGTCGGCATTTTTGCACAGTGATTCCATGGGTTAAGCTGAACATTGGCTCCCAGAATCTTGTGGTAAAAGAGACTTTTGATAATCACTTAGTCAAATTTATTTATTCTGTCACTGAGGAAAACTAAATCTTAAGCCAAATGGGCTGCTCACATACAGATCACAAGACATATTGGAGAAGGTTAGAAGACTTTAGTTTCCATCTTCTAAGGAATCAGGATCCCTAATATCCTAACAATATACATACATATTTCTTGGGGATCTTGTTTCAGCGCAGATTTTTATTTAGTGGTTCTGTACTGGGGCTGGAAATTCTGTGTTTCTAACTAGATCCCAGGAGATGCTGGTGCTTTTAGCTCATGGGCCAAACTTCAGATAAAATAAGGTTTTGCTATAAGATAGTTCATTTCTGAGTGAAGATAAACATTAGTGAAAGCTTATTTCTGGTTCAGATATAGCCAATAATTCCTAAAAATATTGACATATCTTAAGTAGCTCTATCTTTACTATACCAAATATTCTATATCATCTTATGATAAATCAACTATCATCCATCCCTTAACACCAGTTTCCTAGAATGAATCATTTTAAAATTATACCAACTAGAAAATTGATTGGGTAATATTTTAACCCCCCTTACCTGGCTGTCATGTGCCCTTTGATATCAAACCTGGCATGTGACATATACAACTTCTTAATAAATGCATTCCTTCACTTAAGGAACTCATGATTCAACAATAATTTATTAATTTCACTATATTTAAAATAATACATTTCTCACAACAAATGGTTCAAAGGTTTTCTCACATACACATGCTCATACACGCACACACACAAGCACATGATATTTACATATATTACACCATGTGATATAAAAAGTTTAAAAGGGCTAAAGAGGAAAAAAAAAGTTCAAAAGGGCTAAGAAGGTTTAAAAAGTTCAAAAGGGCTAAGAAGGAAAAAGAAAAATATCAGATGGTTTGACTTATAGCAGGAATATAGGGAAAACAAATAAGACATCAGTGTAAAAAAATAATAACAGTACAAAACACAACAAAGCAAAAACGGACAATTATAAATCAGAGACATACTGCAGGGGAGGAGGCAGGAGAGGGATCAGAGGGCGTGGGGAGGAGCACAAGGGACTGAGGGTGATGGTGCATGGGGGCATTGGTGAAGGAAATTCTATGGGGACTACACCTTGAGGGGGTGGGGGAAACAAATATTGTTTAAAAATGAACAATGATGAAAAAAATTTAAAAAATATTAAAAAAATTCAAAAGGGCTATATCAACACAAGATGTGTCTTGTTAAGATTCTTAACATTTTAATGATCATAATTATACTATGAGCTTATTCAAGTAATCAAATCTTGAAATCTAGAACTTGCTAGTGTTTTATCTTGTAGTCCATTCTTCCTAAAGTAGGAGAGGTAAATGCACCAAATCACTTGACTGCATTTTTTTGTATTGAATTTGGTTTTAAGGGAATAAAAAGATCATCCTTATAGTAAAAATGAACAGTGCTATTCACTTTTTTATATCAAAAAGATAGCTTTTTTAAAAATATTTATTTATTTATTTATACAAGCACTGGGTAATACAGTCAGAAGCGCAGGAGGGTGAGAGAATTCACCAGAGCCAGAGCGGGAAGCAGAAAAGGCAGACTGACGAAGTACACTGCTGAGGGGAGCAGTGGGCATGGCAGGAGAGATCTGCGCACCATGTGGGACCCTCACTGGCGGCCAGGGATTGAACCAGCCCTGTAGAGGCTGCAGGCAGCTTCGCAGCCCAGCGCTCAACTATTGCGCCACCGGGGAGGCCCAAGATAGTGTTTATTCTTATTCTCTGCAAAAGAAAGTGTATAAATCAAAGGATATGCTTCAAAACATAATTACAATGAACTGATACTTTACATTGTGGTTCTGGTATTAATGAACCATTGACAGTAGTCATGACCACAGAGGTTGAACATCTGTAAGTATATTTACTTCCTAGAACCTTTCAATAACTCATATATTGTTGCATAATATTGGGTAAAATGAATCCAATCTGATTTGGTTTAGTGACTAGAGTGAGAGAAACAAAAATAGCTACTGTAAAGGACTTTTGAATTTAATCACAGCCCCATTGCTTGACCTTAAGAAAAATATTATACCACGATTCCAGTATGTTGATGGGTAATTGTAAGTGAGTAAATAAAATGTAAATTTTATACAACTCAAAATCTCAAAATAGTTTTACCTTAAGTGTAAAAATGACATCTATATTAAGTACTTCTCTAGACAAATGGCTAATTTTTTTAAACGTATTTGTCTTTGATTTGAAATAATCGCATGAAGTGAAATTTGTACTAATAAAAATCTGCTACTACTATTTTTCAACATTAAAAATGACAGCTACTTTGTAATCTTAAAAAACCAGCAAGGAATGTAGTTTTTTTTTGGTCTGTTATCACCAAAGTATGAAAGTGCTTGCCTGCTAATGTAATTTGATTATTTAACTTATCACATAAAAATACCTATGAAATAAATACAGTAGTCCCCCCTTATCTGTGACTTCACTTTCCAAGGTTCAGTTTCCCCTAGTCAACCACAGATTGAAAATATTACATACAATCAGAGCTTTTGAGAAAGAAAAGACCACATTCATATAACTTTTATTATAGTATGTTGTTATAAATATTCTATTTTATTATTGTTAATCTCTTACCATGCCTAATATATAAATTAAATTTTATCATTGGCATGTATGTATAGGAAAAACATAGCACATACATATTTTTGTTAATATTATATTAATGCATATATTAATATATATTAATATCACATTAATATATATAGGGTTCAGTACTATCTGTGGCTTCAGGCATCTACTAGGAGTCTTGGAATGAATCCCCTGTGGATAAGGTGGGACCACTGTATGAAATTGAGTGTACATAAAATAAAAGACTCAAGATCATTTAAATATTAAAAGATTATAGATGGAACCATGTAAACTCTTACCAAAACCAGAGTTTTAACACAATATGAATATCAGTAGCAAACTGGGAAATAACAATAGGAAAATGACTTAGTTGCCCCGTCCTTGCCACCCCCTTCAACTTTTCATCCTCACTGTCATTAACGTCAGTAAATTTATCTTTTGAATATTGAAGCAAATACCAACAAAAAACGTATATCCACAGTTTTCATGGGACATTGTTTTCTAGATGTGTTATCCTTTCCTTTTGTTATGTTTTCTTCATGCTATTCAGTCACCAGGTCATTTGTAGGAATCACCATATTCCCTAGGAGGAAAATTGCCAGTCTGAAAGTTCAGTATCTTTAGCATTCTATTGCTTATCACATTTTTGCCCTCTAGGTGCCAACCTGGATTCACTGGAGCGAGATGTACTGAGAATGTGCCCATGAAAGTCCAAAACCAAGAAAGTATGTTAAAATAATCTGAAATTTGCTTTCTTTCCCAAACTACAGCAACAATCACTACCACTTGGTGCTTTTACAGCTCAATTATAACTGATTCCTCTTGTTCTAATTATGGTTTAACAACTCTGGATATAGCCCATTTAATATGATGGTGTTTAACTGTCTTTCAGCATGGGCCCCAAAGGTCATACATTTAAAAGAATTATCCATCAGGACAGCCAGTGATGCTGGCAACCATGATGGGCAGGCCAACCAAAAAAAAAAAAAATTTCCTTCCAATGTTTTTGACCAAAGCTCTCAAATGGAAAACTGAGATGAGCAAGATGTCAGCTTTAATTGTAAGTGGCTCCCTTTGAAAGAAAGCAGTCACATAAAATGCTTGGATCTTTATCATACAAACCCATACAATATTTTGTCCAAATGCATAACCCTTTGGGGGAAATGCCAGAGTTTGAAAGCCATGATTAGGACAAAGATTCAGTTCCTGAGCGTGAACTCACCAAATTCAGTCAAATGACACTGAAGGAGCTTCTTTCTAGCATATATTCACCTCTTCTCTTTTTCTCTGTTTTTTCTACCATTGTTTTTTGTTTCTTCTCTCAGGTGCCCAAATGAGTTTACTGGTGATCGCTGCCAAAACTACGTAATGGCCAGCTTCTACAGTACGTCCACTCCCTTTCTGTCTCTGCCTGAATAGGAGCATGCTCAGTCGGTGCTGCTTTCTTGTTGCTGCATCTCCCCTCAGATTCCACCTAGAGCTAGATGTGTTTTACCAGATCTAACATTGACTGCCTCTGCCTGTCGCATGAGAACATTAACAAAAGCGGTTGTATTACTTCCTCTGTCCGTGATTAGTTGGCTTTGAGTTACTGATAGGTATGTGAGGCTCCGGATGTTTCTGGATAATGTGATATAAAATGATAGTCAATATCAAACAGTGCAATTATAATAAAGGCATTTAAAAGTCTCACTTTTATTGATAAAATAAAATCCTTCCACTGAACAGTTCATCTTCTTTATAAAATGACAACATCCTGAAAAAGATGTTGCTAAGTTGTAACTGATATGCACTTGAAATGATGGTAAGTTCATTTTGGTTGAGAATGTGTTATTTATAACAAATAAACATAATAAAAAGAGTTCAGATGTTTCTTTTCATTAACCAAACAGTTTGCATTTAGGTATAAAAAAAGACACTGAGTAGGAAAATTTAAAACAAACATTTCATGGCAAATGAGATATGCTGGCTTCTGTTTCATTGCTTAGGAAACAAGTGAATCAGGACTAGTTTTAAACAAGCATTTATTTATGTCAGCATTTCTTTATGCTCATTTCAATATTTTAGGGGAAACAGTTGTTTTTTAAATTATTTGCTTTGTAATATGAGTTCACTATTAAATATATGTATATATATACACATTTATTTATGTGTGTATATATATGTGTGTACATACATACGTATTATTAAATGCAGAAATGGGATATCATGATTAATTTCTCTGGCTTTATGAGGGTTTGAATATCATTTCTAAAAGAACTGATTCACATTAAATGTAATTGTATAGATATCTAAACTACATATTTGTCTTTCCATCATGAATTGGAATACAGCTTTTGATTCTGGAGCTTTCAAAGCATTGTTTTTAAATGAATTCTATTTAGTTATCCATTTAGATCAGAGGTTGAAATCTCTTTTTGTAATAATCAAATGAGAAATAATACCATCACCATCACAACTACTTGACTCTGCTATTGTAGCATGAAAACAGCCACCGACACTGTATAAACTGATTGCATGGTGGTTTGCTATGAAAACTTTATTTACAGAAGCAGGCAGTGAGGACTGCCAATTGCCCAACTAGAAAAGTTATTTCACATAGCTTTTTGCAGTATAAATTTGCAAAACACAAGAATTAATGATACAAATTAATCATTGAAAAACAGATTTACCTAAGAAAAACAGATTTACCTTTATTCAGATGCATGCAAAGAATAAGATTTTTTCCTCCTTTCAACAGTCATGGAAGAATAAATTCCATGGAAAAATAAAATCCATATGCATTATGTGGAGGTTAGAGCTGTAATATTCAATCACTTATTTAGTGAGGTAGTAATTTTATGTATTTACAAGGGATATACATCAAAAATTATGTTCTAGATCATTTTTATTGTGAAAAAATGGTAAATCATCATAGTTAATTTCCAAATACAGTCTTTATTCACAAATCCTTAAATAATATGCATATATTGGGCAGAATTTTTCTTAGCTATAGATAAACTTGTTAAAGGTAAATAATATGGAAAGTAAAAACAGGAGAGAAATAATAGAATTTTATTTAATATATTAAAGTGATTCCTTTTAGAAATGTGTGTATTTAAATAAAACTAGATTCAGCCAAACTGGCAAGAAAACTATACTTTAGAATTCAATGAAAATTATGAACATTCATATTCTGCTGAAATGTTCAGTGTTTTAGAGTGTCATTGTGCCTTGAAGACTGTTGGGGCACTATATAAAATCTTGTAAAACTGTAGATATTCCCCAAACAGCAAAGCATTTTAGATATGACCGTAGTAACCAGAGAAAATATTCTCAACTTCTCTTTTAGACCCTTTCACTTTCATAACATATCATTCAAAAATAGCCAGTATGTATTTAATCAGAGTGTGACTCTTTAAGTACATTCTTCAATAAGTGTGCAGTGATGCTTTTAGAAGACATCCAAGAAAGCAGCATTCATATTTAACATGATTTAACAAAGATTGGTAGGAAGCGCACTTAGGAACAAAATTCATAATGACTGTGCATTATGCTGCTTCATGTCTGAAAAAGCAAGAACTTATTATCAGAAACCGTTTACAAAGCTGTCTTGCTCAGAGTTAATTTTCTAATCTCTATGTCTTAATTTCTCAATTCTTATTTATGTAATCTCCCACATAGAAGGTAGGAAAAAAATTTTTGCTACTCTAGGAACTTTATGTTCGGTAGCAATGAAGGCTGCAAGAAGGATTTAAAAAGTCACCACAGTGGTAATTTTTAAAATGTAATTATTTATTCATAAAACATGAGAAAAAAATTTTAAAGAAAAGATATCCCCCAGCTTTAAAGAGAAGAGAGCAATTAACTTATCAAACCATATTTTAGCTGAAGAATAACATTCTAAGAGAATATATAATTTTAAAGTGTTTATTAACACATAACTTACATTATTAGTGTCTGATGCAATTTTATGGTCAGTGTCCTATGGGGCACTTATTGATTTATAATATATATGTCATATAAATATACACATGATGTATATATATCATTTGTATGATATATATATAAAGTCACTTTAAAATATGAAAGAAAGGAACAAATGTACATTTCATATGACTTTCTTGCAGGCAACATTTGTTTTGAAATAAAACATTTATAGAACTTTCTAGGAAATACTGTCAAGATTAATCAGCTTCAAATTTGACCTATTGACAGAATTCCTACTTGAAAGGATTGTGTGTGTATGTGTGTGTGTGTGTGTGTGAAAGTGTACAGGCAATCCATACTGATTTGTTGATTTATAGACTTCATAGGGAGAAAAAAATGAAGGCATTCACAGCTTCAATAGCTCGAGGCAGTATGAAGCAAGTATGTCATATATATTAACACACAGTAAGAAATAATCACAAAACAGCACAAATTATAGAATATTGCAAGAAAGTACACTTTTAGAACATTTAGACACATTTGAGAATGAATAAACCTATATAGCAGATATCCTTAAATATTCAAATATTCAAAACTATTGTTTTGAATCATAGGTTAGTAGTGAGTAAATCATTTGTGTAGATTTCTAAATGCTGTTAGTAGATTTATCAAGCATAGACATTTTGCTGAGAGTAGAATAAAGGCATATTTAATCTATGACAAAACTGTAAATCCCAACTGTGTGTTAATGAAATTGTACTCTGTGTATATGTGTGTGTATGTGTGTGTTTGAGTGTGCTTGGTGCACATGGAAACTTGGGAGCCAGGGGAAAGACTCCTGTTACATTCCCAAGAGCTCAGTGGCAATATGGATGCGTATGTGTGCGAAAAAAAAAAAAAAGCCCTACATTTGTAAAGGTAAGTCAAAAATTAAAATCAAACACTGAAATGGTCCCATTTAGAACTGGCAGTGACTGAACTCCTTCAGAAACCTCAGGGTGGCAGAAAGCAATAATACACATATGTCTTTCAGATTATTTGCTTAAGGAGGTCCAAGATATTAAAGAATAAAATCCTAATTGCCTTCAAATTTTAACAGAAACCATAATTGCATGTATGCATCACTTTGGTAAAAGAAAGTTGTTTTATTGTTCTTTTCTCTAATGCAATTGAAAATTTAAATTAACCTGCAGGTTAATCAGTTTTCTTCAAACAATTATAAAATTATAAAGCAGAGTGAGTCAATATTTAATAGTTTCTGAAGCATCTTAGATTTAAATTAATTTTTTATATTGCTTACTGCACAGCAGGAAATCACATGTAGAAAAGAAAACTAGATTGTTTACAGTAACCTTTGTGTTTTTGAATTATTAATTTAATTTGAAAAATGTGGTGTCTAGGCTGAAGTTCAATAGGAAGCATATGATACATAATGAGCCTAAGCCAACATTAGATTAAATAGAACAGATAGAAAGCAATAACCTCTTCATAAAATGAAAAGTATTTGTGTATTCTGCTTTTCTTGTCTCACAATGGAAGAAATGTAGCCACCAATAGTAAAAATAAATTAGAGCAGTATTTGCTCCAAGTCTAGAATGACTGATGCATGTTTCCTCTGCTTGTTTCCTTGTTAGGGCTTATGGCCAGAAGAGATTCCAATTTTAAGTACCAATTTCCCTTTGAATTATTTGAAATTGGAGCTGCCTGATATGAATGACTTCCCATGAAATGAAATTATAGTTAGGCTCACAGACTTACCTATAAACTGTAAATGCAGTCATATGTATGCATGGGCATGCTACTAATTTTATTGAAGACCTAACCAAGCTTTCTACGCAACTAATATAGATCATTAGCAGTGTTCACGTAGGCATGGAATAATGATTCTCTGGAAGGAGTTTCTGCAGTTCCTCCTGATTTTAACCCTTAAATTATTACTGATTGGTAGGAGGAAAAGGTGAGAGGTGGAGGGGGTAGTAGGGAGAAAAATTAAGCCACAGCCTCATGGAAATGTGTAGGGAAATTTATTATCACTTCATTGGAAAATGAGTTTTTGCACCTTGATGTGCCAAAGTTCATATGAAAGAAATGAATGGGAAAAAAAATTTCAATTTGCCAAATTAAGTGTTGCACAGAGGCAAGAGAAATTTGTGTGAATTTGAATAAACTTATTTTGCTGTGAATATTGTGCAACCAAATTAACCCCAAATTCTCTGTCTTTGAATTTGTGAAAAGCTCAGATTATTTGCCTGATGACTTTGGACTCTAGGCAGAGGGAACTTTCTATTAGATTGCCTCTCTTGATATTATTAATGTAATTCATTTTTTTTTTAAATCCGGAAAGCTTCATTTCCTTAAGAGGTGGCAAGATTATTTAAAGTCTAAATGACTGGATCTATCCCAGGAACTTTCAGAGTTTCCTGGCCATGAAATTAGTCAAAAGTAAACCTACATGCAGTAAGTGGTCCAAGGTAAATCACCAGATGTGTCTGTTCTCCAAGCTGGTAAACCCTTGTGCTGTTGGCCCACTTATTTCATGCCTCTTTTATGCCACAGCATCATTCCACAAGACATGCTTAGCATCATAAGCATCTTGTCAATAAGAAATAAACTTGCCCAAAGTCACTAAACAGGAAAATGACAGAGGCAGGAACTGAAGCCAGGATGACTCCTGTACACTTAGTGTCACTTTTCCCTGCTCTTTGTGAAGCATTTTGGCCTAAATTGATATTTTAGTAAGAGAAACACACCTCTACTGAATATTCTAAATTCAGGAGATGCCTTGCTATATTTTTTAACTGCCCTTTTGTCTCCCTGATCAGTGATTAAGGGAAGAACTATAGACCTCAGAACCTTGGCTTTCAGAGTTTTCTCTGTTTTTATCCCACCCGCTTCTCCACCACACATGCATAGACAGCGAGTTCATAAAGGTCATTCATGATGATAAATTATTTTTGTTGCAAGAACACAAAGTGTCATTTTATTATTTTGCTTGTTTTTCCAATTTCCTCATTTGAGCCTGTGAGAGTTCTGCCAGTCCTGCATCGTGGTGCCTCCACCATCAGTTCTTCCAGGATGGGCCTATGGGCTCACACCATGGGGTTCCCTTCCTTCAACAGCCTTGCAGATCCTCTGAGCACCTAGGCTGTTCGTGCTCATCTGGGCTTTGGCACTCAACCCCATGGACTGATCAGAAAATTGATTCTCTGTTTGAGAGTAATAAAATTAACTAAAACCCCAGGAATTATATTCTGCCCCCCCTTTTTTAATTTGAAAAATCGTGACTTTGAGATTTGTCTTGTAGCACATAGAAATTATATGAATAAAATCTGGAAGTAGGCTCCAGTGCCCCAATACCCTGTCCTGCTTTTTGGACAGAAACATTTGTTGCTCTCTGTGTATGAAATATGCTATGCAAATGGTGGAGAATGGAAGTTAGGAGAAGAGAAAGAAATATCTTTCAAAAAATAGCCAAAACAAAAGGAAGTATTAGAGCATGACAATCAACAAGTGATGAAAAATGTAAATCCAACATCATAAAATTATCAGACCACATTACTATCTTCTTGGCTTCTGTCCCTGGCTCTGCCACTGTCTGTGTGCCTATGGGTAAAAAAAGTTCCCCTCCCTGAAACTTTACGTTAAAAAAGAGGGAAATGAAATAATATTGTGCCTTTTCTGATTATAAATACTAAGCTGCTGTTCCCAAATAATGTAGTATAGAGGACAGTTCACTATACAACTTCTCCCTCAGTAAGGTCTTTTAAGGGTTAATAAAGACAGTGTGCTGGTATTTGCACACCTCTTTAAAAGAGAAGTTCCCTCTGTGGACTCAAGGAGGCGTACCTGAGCACTGCTTCCTTAACCACCCACCATTTGTTCTGTTCAGTGTGCACGCACAGAGAGCCATAATAATCATGTGTAATGTGTTTTGGAGTGCAGTGTATTGCTCTTTTCTGAAACTTTTTCCCTTTCTTTCTTTTTTTGTCAACTTTCTGCATTGGCAGAGCATCTTGGGATTGAATTTATGGGTATGGACCAATCATCATTCCTTTTAGCCTGCAGAATTTAGAGTCTCTGAGCTGAAATCTTTTTCCTTTCCTATTCTTACCTTTCAGTTCCTGACTAATTTCCTTTTTCTTTAGAAGGGATCATACAGCTATAACAATGATTTCTCTGCTTTCAATCTATGATTAGTTTGAAATGTTACTTAGTGCAGCAGCATTCCAAGCTTCACTTAGGGTTTAAAATCATCTCACCTGCTGCAAAATCACATAAATCCCACATTCCTTGACCCATTGATTGGATCTAGTGATGCTGTTATTTCAGAGCTGGAATAAGTTGGAGTGGCTGCAGAGAAACCAAACCAGGGGCCTGAGGACAAAAGAAGCTTTAAATGCATTAGCTTGCAAACACACCACATCTTAGGCTAATAGGAATTTGACATACAATGTAAAAATCATTTAATGTAGTAACACAGAATGTCCTTACATTGCAACACAATATTATAAGCAAAGACTTGAACTACTATGATTTTCTGGAACTACTCAAGCACTACTCTAGTCAACTTCATTATCTAATGAGCAGGGAAACAGAAAACAGAAAGAAACAAGCTTGTGCTGTTTTAAGTGGAAATTCTAATGGAATTAAACTCGAGTCGCTAAGATTAACCAGACAAGTAATCAAATGGAAAATTTCACACGGTAAACAAAATATCTCCTATAAATATATGAATTTGGGACATAGTCCTCTCAAAGGTCATCATCCAAAGTAGTCGGGAGAAAAAGCCAGTCTTGGGAGAAGGGGGACGTGGTGCCACATTCCCAGAGGCTCCAGAGTGCAGGCCAATGGGCTTCCTGACACTGCATGCAGCCTTGGGGCAGTAGCTCCACAAAGCAGGGTCCTGATTAGCTGAATCTGATCCCCATCCAGTTGGTGTCAGGGACATCCTGCTGTGAGCCCCCTACAGCTGCTGCTTGCTTTTGGATGATAAAATCGCAGTCTCAACTGAGGGTCCTTTACAAATTTGTGGGAAATGAGATGCTTGCAAGCTAAAGCAGTTACAGGAATAGAAACTCAATGAATTGCCCGTTCCTCCCCAAAAGGTCTAGGAGAAAGCTATTCACTTCCCAGGAAAACCCCCACAATTATGTGATGATCCTCTGCATATCAGAGATCATGTCCCAGGAGAGAGAAGCCCCTGGTGTCTCTTGGGCAGCATGTCACTTGAGCAAGGAGTTATCTGTTCAGTTACTTCCCGCAGGACAAAAACTGCCCCACTTCTGAAAAGTTTTATTGGCCTTTCCTGAAGGGAGATGGAAAATGACCCCCAGGCCCCTTATCCCCTTAACAGCACCTTTCCCACTTTAACATCTAACTGTAGAAACACATATTTCAATTCCCAAACAGTGACATATATATGACTTCTCCTTCAGTAAGACCTCAAGGGTTAGTATAGCAAGTGCTGCCCACCTCGTAGACTGTAGTCCCAGGGGAGTCAGTGTACTAAAAACCAGAATGTTCCCTCCTTAAGGAAAATCAGACATTAAAGGTCAAATAAAATTGAGACAAACAAACCCTCTGTCTCTTGGCCAGGTCAAATGAGACAAAAACGTGCTTGATCTGGTTCACTTCAATGCAGCCAGCCAAACCATGGAGTAAAGACTCGGAAGCATTTCAAGTCATTAGGGCAGTGCTGCCAATGGCCTGACAGCTTCTTTTCAGTGCTAACTCTAATTTGCTCTTGCCCTATTGACCCAGGCACGCTAGGGAAAAAATAAGGGAGAGGGGTGGTGAAAAGAACCCACTGTTTATATTATTGTTCATCAAGTGTTTCTCTTTTGACACATTCATATTGTGGGGGGGCGGGGGTTTTACCTGATCTAATCAACATGGGAAGATAAAAGAGGATTTGGACAAGAAACACTTAATGCCTTCAGCAAATGCTGATGTGAATGCAGAATCGAAATCCCATGTCCGGGTTCTGCGGGCCTTGGCTGTCATTGGTTCACCGAAGTCCATGTGCTTTACTGTCTGGCCTTTATTGGGCCTCCTTTTCATTTTACGACAGATTTTACTAAAAAATGAGTAGACACTCATTTTTTCTGCAGAAGAGAAAAAGAATGAATGAGTTGCTGTACATTATTTGTTCAAACCCCAAGTCCATCTATTCTTTTATAATTTAACAACCCCAAAAAGTATCCGAAGATCCCTGAGAGTCTGCATAATGCCTTTCCCTGCTTTGTTCCTGTATACAGGCCATTTTTCATAGTTTGCAGAAGCAATTTCCTGACTTTTTCTAAAGATAGAATGATAAGATGTCAGCACTACCAAGCCCTAACTGTTTTTAAAAGAAAGAAAAATAGGGCAGGCAAAAGAGGACACGATGAAGCAGGGTCTCTGTTTTCTTGGCAACAGTACTACTCTGTTTCTCAACGTAATCATCACAGCTGAAGGAGACCTGCTCCACATCCTGGGTCCCTTGGAAAAGGACTGAGGGGTGGGGGGAGTTGACACCTCTCCTTCTTAGACATAGACTGACCCCTGAAATACAAGGAGGAGGCTCCGATGGCATCAGCTCACAGATTAACACCTCATAAAATGCAACTCCCAATCCTGTGGCTGGGGGGACGGGAGAGGCCAACACATGCAATTAACACACGAGCATTCACATCCCGAATCCTCATTTCACTTCTGCGGCACAGACACATGGCTCCACTCCTGGTCCACTGTTTCACCGCAACGCCAGCTGCCTTGCTTTCTAATTGTGGCTTCCAAGAACCCACCAGCCTAGGTTAGGCGTTATGCTGTATGGGATAACCCTTCCAACTTTGCATCCACCTTTTCTTCCTGCCCTAGCATCTTCCCTCTGGTTTTCTTTTATTTATTTTTTCCTCCCTTAGTATCGGGCATGCTGTGCCAGGGACTTCAGATGGCTCCTTCTCTTTGAACCTTGTTTTCCCCTGTACCTGATTCCTCCCTCTCTCTGTCATTCTGTCAGTCTGTCTGTCCTCCTGGTTTGTTTTTTTCTTTCCACTTCCAACCCTTTTGGTTTGGTTTTGTATAATCTCTGCGGCATTCTAGTCTTTTACCCGCTGACTTCTCCTTCTCCTCCTGTTAATAATCAGTGCTAGATTAATGTGATTTGACGATGTTCCTGACCTGTTAACTGGAATTTGATTACCATGGGCTTGGCTTGTAGGAAATGTTTTGTTTAATGATAAGGTCTACTGTATCATAGAAATTAAAATGCACTTTTTCATTTCAAGAAAACTTCCTGCAAATCACCCTCTGTCAATGGGAAAAAAAAAAAAGGCGTGGTTGCTGAAACTGAAAATGGAAATGGAAAATGTTCCTTACAGCTTCAGGTTGATGCCCAGAAAAGAGACCTTCATTTAGATGAAATTTCCAGTTCTTTACCAGCTTACTAATCAGAATAGTCTGCTAATTGTGCACTTGTACAAGTGTACAAGTACAGCTTAGTCTGCTCATTGTGCACTTGTAGAGCACAATTAGTGCTCTTTCTTAGTGAACTTGTAATTCTCCCAAGAAGTGTAATTATAATGGCTCGTAAGGGATCACCTTCACCATTTAATCAGACAATCTTGTTAAAAACCTGACCCTACATTATATCATTATATCATAGAATAATCAAGCTATCCCCTCAAAAAAATCCAGTTTGCAAATAGACTTCTATGAATAAGAGACTGGTTACATTTGGGATAGTATCTTTAGGTCAATGTTCTAAGCCTCCCACTTCATTAGTGTAACCTCCATTAGCCAATTTGCCAAATTGGTCAGTGCAGGGATGTACAATCTAGTCCAAATTGTGCATCATTTGTATAAAGTGTTTCTTTATACAACCATTGGGTTGTCAGAAAGTCTTAACATATTTTTTTATGTTTTCTATGCAAAAAGGCACCATGACTATTCCTACAACCCGAGTAAATGAAATCACTAAATACAATGGTTGAATAATAATTGCCCTCTAGGGGACAAATCTTCATCTTGGACAAGGTCTGTCCTACTCACCATATTGAGTTTTCTCTGATACAGTACCCTGTGACTCCAATTGTGTTACTTATGATCACATTTTATTGTTAAATCATGGAGATCCTGCCTCAATTTAATTGCTAACTACAAGTCAAGTTCATGTTTGCAAATGTCTTTGAGGTGTTTTTTTTTTTAAGTTAGAAATGGCTTTTTGTGAAGACCACTGGAATATAAAATAGCTGGAAATAAATGAAAGGGGGAAGGATGGGAGGCTGGGGTGTGGGTCGTCAGGAGTACCAATCCAGCTCTTTCGTGGACATTGATTCCTGTTGTCTTTGCAAGAGATTGTCTTTAAAAAACTAGTTTTAACAATGTAGTTATTTTATAATTAATGTTTATGATTTGCCAGTTTAATGCATATATATACCTAGTTTATAATTAAAATAATTGATAGTGTATATATATATATATATATATACATATTTATTGTCAGTGACCTTAGCAGATTTTGCTGTGAATGTTCAAAGTAGTGCAGAGTATGCTGTCCCTTAAGTATGTCTGCAGATGTTATGAATTGTTACATATTTATTTTCTTGTGAATATGGACAATGTCATACCGCATGCTTACTGTTCAGTTTTAGTCCAGGAAGCTAGAAGGTGACTTTGGTGACATCTGCTCTCATCCCTTTCCAGAAGCGGAGGAGCTCTACCAGAAGAGGGTGCTGACCATCACTGGCATCTGCATCGCCCTGCTGGTGGTTGGCATCATGTGTGTGGTGGCCTACTGCAAAACCAAGTAAACTTTCCTCCTCCACACCTCTCTTTTCTTAGCCCTCAGAGGGCTTAGCGGGCAAGGGCTTTGCAGAAACTAGACTCCACCGTCTAGTCATGAAAAAAAATTATGGGGATCAGAGGGAAATTTCTCCTCATTCTTTACACTGAATAATCCATTTTGAGAATCTTTCCTAATCACATGCATTACAAAGCCTTGACAGTCTGAGGAAGACTTCTGATAAGTGCCCACAGCCCCATGACTGGAGAAGGGTCCTGGGGACAGGCTGATAAGTGCCCACAGCCCCATGACTGGAGAAGGGTCCTGGGGACAGGCTTGTGTAGGAGCAGAGGTGTGTGTTTACCATGTACCTGCACACGCCACATTCTGACAAGAGAGTGGTAGGTACAAGGTACATTTGTCACCTCATGACTGAGGTCAAACCCAATTTGGATTTGGGAGATAAAGAAAACAGTAGTATTTGAAATAAAGTTTTCTGAATATTGTGGTGATTGTTCTCCAATTACATCTAATTAGCTAGTTCAAATCTTGTCAAAGTGAGATGAACTAAAGGAATATCATGAGGAAAATAAAGCAAAATTTGCTTTGAAAAATACAAGAGGAAAAAATTAAAATAGATATTATTCATTATGTTTAACCTTTTAAATTGGGTCCATACTAACAGTAATAATTTCTGTATGCCATGAGTTCACTTTACTGGTCGCTCTTACATATAACTTCCACTTCAAGTTTGAAATGATATTAATTAACAGTTTTGGGTTTTTTGTCATTGTTGTTGTTTAATCACATAATTCTTTCATCTAAATTAACCATTGAAAGATGATGATCTGAACGTTGCACTGAGGAAAAAGCCAATATACTTTTATGGCATACAGTCAAGGGCTCAATTGTTTTTTTGAATACCCCGGGATTCAGTGTGTTGCCAGAATTAAGTGATGGAGATAAGCCTTCATAGAATTCACCTTTGAGTATTCACAGACTCAGTCTTAATATTTCAAGATTCAATTGTAATTATACAAAAAATATTACTAGGCAGGATCATGTTACAGTTATACCAAAGTTTACTGGCAAAAAATTATACTTCTTCACTCATCTACAATGCTATTCATGCATATGATGTGTAATGGATAGATTCAACACTAACTGCATTTTCTTAAAGAGATGCACAGGCAAACTCTAAATGAATTCTCTTATAGAGACCCACAGGCAAAACTTATCAATTCCACCTCAAAAAATGATGACCTAGGACAAATGACCATCTGTAAAACTTAGACAAAGATGGATTGATTTGAAAGTGGGTTTGTAGCCCAATATCAGCTTGACTGATGTCATTTTCTCCTTTTCCCTGATCCTTCAGCAGCCTGGTTAAATTTTTGTAAGAATTCCATCGGCTTCTTAAATCTATTTACTTAGAATGCTTGATGCCACTTCTGCCCAAGGCAGCTTCTGAGATGGAGTGGCAAAAGCCTTTCCCTCTCCTTCACCACCAGTCCACTGCCTTGAGTTACATCTTGGTGGAATGAAGAATCGACTGTATTAAGAAGAGTAAATAAAAGAAACAAATAAACGCTTCCCTTCTCCTCTCCAGGAAACAGCGGAAAAAGCTCCATGATCGGCTTCGGCAGAGTCTTCGGTCTGAACGCAACAACATGGTGAACATAGCAAATGGACCTCACCACCCGAATCCACCCCCCGAGAACGTTCAGCTGGTGAATGTATGTTGACTCTGGCCAGTGGAAAGATCTGAGCATCCCTCCTCAGTTCAAGCACCTTGAAGTTTATTTTCTAAAGCTCTTAGGCTCTTAACTGCTGCCATTAATCACCATGGCTTCCAGGAATCCGAGGTTTTGCCAGGAGAAAATAATGGGAACATTTTTAAAAGTGGATTTGGTTACTGTAAAACCAGCACATTTCCTCTTATAAAGTGTTCATTAAGGGGTTGGAATAATAATGCTGGTTTTGTTCTGCAGGAAAGTCATAATTGGAAAGAAAGGAAGAAAAACATGAAGAAAAATAATAAAATTAATGATACAAGAATCAGAAGGAAATGCTTTATTTTTTTATAATTTGAATATGAAAGCTACTCTAGTCAGTCTATAATTGATTAATACCAAAAATTGAGCTGAAACTTTAGAGTTATTTTTACTAAAGGCATTTCACAATATCTCATGATTTACTGATTCTGATTTACAAGGGAAGAAAGGTCAGGAGAATTATCTAACGTGCTTCTCAGTAGCAAAACTACAAGAATATAATACTTTTTTATTCCCTGGCTATTTCTAAGTGATAGCAAACCCTCCAGATGAAATATGTCTTTAATCATTCAGATGCTTTGTTTAAAATTAATCATATATTCAGCTTTAAAAATATAGGAGATAGGAGATTGTGGAGTCTTTAGTCTCTTCTAAACCTTCCTTCTATTATAGATAAGAGCCAGAGCTGAACTCAAGTTTCCTGATTTTTGGACTCTTGCTCTTCCTGGTGCACCCTAATTCTTCCTGTTTTCCTCATTTCTCTCCAATGTTTATCTTTTTTATAAGCAAAGATTAAAATTATATTGTGGTATCATTTTCTATCCTATAGAAAAATGAATATTTTTTGTGAAACCAATATGTCACAGTCCCAAATTCAGATTGGTGGTTACTAAACAAATAGCAAGTTTTATAACAAAGAACTTCAGGAGATTTTTACAATAGATGTTAATATAGTAACATACTTGGTTGCTTTCTTCACTCTACCAGTGTTCATTCCAATGTTCTGCAGAATTCATAAGTGTACACCTATAACCTGTCACTGTGTATGTATAATAGACGGGAGGCAGAATGACTGCCTAGATTCCAGCTGTGATTCAAGATGTGTGACTTTGGGTTTTAACCTTTCCAAAGCCTATTTCTTCATTATAAAGACAAACGAAAAATAATACCTACTTCAAGAAGTTCTTATGAGTATTAAACAGGATAATCTACATCAAACACTTATCTCAGTGACATTTAGTGTATCTCAATAATAGTTAAATATTATTTTAATTGGATTCACTGAGCATATATAGCCTTCCAAGGAAAAGTGAAATGGTACACAGTTGAGAAATCATTCATTTTCTTTACCATCGTCTCCTTATAAGTTTTACTTTCTTAAAAGCTAGATTTACTTTCCCAACGGAGCCACATGGAATAGACTTTCCCCTAGGAGGACCAACTAGAGTTTCAAACACAATTCAAGTTGTATATTTTTTGGGTTTCCAAGAACGCATAAAGTTCTATAGAACATATGGCCCATCGGTTTTATTTAGGCCTTTCTTCATGTTCATTCCTTTTCCTGATATTTAACTCAATCCTGCAAACTCTAACCACATTTAAAACAACTTAAAAACAGTCCTCTCTCACTGATAGAAGGACCTACATGTGTGCATACCCAAAGAGTAATTCAAGAATTTAATTCGTTAAAAGGCTGTTGTAGTACGAGTAGGGTTTGCCATTGGTCGATGGAGAAATTGAATTTATTATTAAGCTTATATATTGGAATGGATTTTTTTGCTTGGTGTTAGTGTTTTGATCTGCATTAATCTTCAAGTTGTGTCTCTTTGTTTATCCAGCAATACGTATCTAAAAATGTCATCTCTAGTGAGCATATTGTTGAAAGAGAAGCAGAGACGTCTTTTTCCACCAGTCACTATACCTCAACAGCTCATCATTCCACTACTGTCACCCAGACTCCTAGTCACAGGTATGAGAGTTTTTAAAATTTAAATGACATTTCTGCAGTATGAATTTTTCCACATAGTCTTTTGCTATCGTGGCCTAAAAACGGGGCAGAAGACACAGTCGATGAGGTAAAATATAATTTAGACAGAAACAGACTTTTGACATCAACTGGCTCTACCTCCTAAATTGCTTTAATTTGGGTCTTAATTTTTCCATTGTTATGAAAGGAAAAATAATTCCTTCCCTGCAGGACTTTTGTTCACCATTTCAGAGATTATCCTTACTCATGGCCTACCATTCACTAAATTTCTACACTAGGAGAAGTTTGTTTAAGATGCTATGTGATCTCTACTCAGAAGTTGGCTTCTTCTGATAATTAGATTGCCCTGGCAAATGCATGTGAGAATTATTTAAGATGTTGACCCCTAAGTTCTCAAATGTCCTGGTGAGTTATAGCCGAATGTATGTTACCAAGGGTAACACTTGACTTCCAAATGCAGCTAAGAGGGCAAATGTTTCCTTAACCTAAGCCCCATAAGATTAGAGAGACTCTGTGATTGCTCAGTTCATAGTGGCATTTGATAAATATGTTCGGTGGATGCATCTGAGACAAGTCATAGTGAACTACTGATACACCACTCATTAGAACTATATGACCAGCTCTTTTCATTTCCATTTTTGTAAATAATTTAAGTATATCTCTGTCTCTCACCTTTCCCTTCTAGCTGGAGCAATGGACACACTGAAAGCATCATTTCGGAAAGCCATTCTGTCATTATGATGTCATCCATAGAAAACAGTAGGCACAGCAGTCCAACCGGGGGCCCAAGAGGACGTCTTAATGGCATGGGAGGACCTCGTGAATGTAACAGCTTCCTCAGGCATGCCAGAGAAACCCCTGACTCCTATCGAGACTCTCCTCATAGTGAAAGGTAAAACCGAAGGGCAAAGCTACTGCAGAGGAGAAAGAATCCCAGTCAGAGAATCCCCGTGAGCACCTGCGGTCTTACCTAAGGAAATCTACTCTAATGAGAATAAGGGGCAGCAGTTGCGTGTTCTAGGAATGCTCCCAGTTGATGGAGTCATCTTTTTGTGTGACTGAACTCATTTCTTCTGAGCTTCTTGCATCGTCCCAGTGGCTGACAGGCAACAGACTCTTAAAAGAGCTGGAATGGTTTGATGTGGAAGGTGCAGCAAACTCGGAGTTCCTAGCTCTGACCTCAGGCTCTGACCCCCTCTGGGTCTCAGTTATCTCAGTTGTAACTTTAGAGAGATGGCGTCAGTGTTTAATAAGGACCCTTCTATAAATTACAGTTTGCCAGTTATCCAAACACTGGTCTTGCCGGCCTCGTGGTCTCATGTGTTAACTCTTTCTTCCCTTCCAGCCTCAGTTAAATCAAATCAAGGGCTATGTCACTGCTGACTGTCACGGGGAACAACTGCTTGTGTTCCACCATATATAGTCTCCCTCTCATGAAATTCCAAGAAGGGATAAATAAATAAATCTCTTTGATGCTGCGTCTGCAGTCTTCACAGGTGGTTTTCAAAGCAGATATTGCCATTTATTAGCCCTTAATTATAGAATGTTTTGACTTTCTTCTGGGATATTGGATGGGGTTGGGGGAGTTACAGCAAAGGTAAAATAAAAACCAGAGAAAAGTAAACTCTAAGAGATACTTAATAGGATACTGAATTCATAGATTCTCTTTATCCATTTCACTTGAACTGGAAGAGAGTTATATCCAACAACCACTTCTAACACATCAGTAGGCTGTTAACTTGTTTTCAAATCCAGTAGGATTTTGTTTGCTTGTTTGTTTGTTTATTGTCATCTCAGTCTGATCTTGACCACTGGTTAAAAGGTTTATGCAATATTCTCCATGCTTATTGGCAGTTACATGGGTAGAGATAATTTTGATAGACTCTTCCAACTCCTGGACAAAGAAATACTTACAAAAAGGATGACATTTCTGGGCTTACATGTCATATAAAGCCTGCTGATCACTTCTTCAAGGGCATTTTTCCAAAAATGGTATTACAGATTGTTCTGTAATTCATCTGTGAAAAATTAGACATGGTCCAAAGTTGCCTTAAAACTAGTCCTAAATCATTTGATTATATCTTTATGTATTAATGAAGACTATCTGTCCTAATTCAGTCATTTTTGAAACTTGAAAAGGAGACTAGGGATACGCTCTTTTTTCACTGCTACATATGATGTCTGTCTTTAAGGGTTGGCATTTCCCTGTTGTCACAGGCTTCCTTGCATATCCCAGATATTATCTAAGACTGCAAAATATACCTGAACCCAGAGATCATGGACAGGAAAGATGAATCATTCTTACGTGTTGATTAGCACTTCTCAAGAAGTTTAATTTAAGTATCCCAAAAGAAAAAAGTCTGAAGACTCCAGCCCCAAATATTTCAATCTCTAGACACATTCCCATTTTAGACACAGCTAGATCTCACATCCATATGACTCTGAATCATGACTGAAAAAGCAGGAGAGTTAATAGGTTTCCTGTTCCTGTTAGGTAGAGTTCAGATGATGGTGTCCTGTGTCATCACAGGTCATGCCAAATTAGTCTCTGTGAATGTCAATGTGAAGAAAAGAGTCATTTAGCGCTATGCATCGGTAACATTTTTATCAAAAGCTGAGAAATGTGACTCTGAATAAACCACATTCTTTCTCAGTACCTAATCCGGTCTTCTCATCCTGGGAGAAGATGTCTGATATGGTAAAAGCAATGCATTCAATGTATTGATGACCAGATTCACCAAACATTATCAGACATAGCATGACATAAGGTAACGTGGGACAGTCAGCCCTTGAACAGTCACAAAAGATAAGCCAAAGACTGATGCAGACCTGGGTTTGGGGAGAGAGGTAGACCAGAGATTGGGCCTATCTGTGAAGCCAACGTAAGATTCTGTCAGGTTTGCCTTTGAATGGCTTGGTCACTGGGATAGATAGTAGCAAACTGAGTGTTAAGAAGTAGCATTTCATGGAAAAATGAAAAGCACTCAAATGTATTACACTGTTATCAGGAATAAATCTAAGTTACTATGCTCTTTTTTTTTCATGAGACATAATCTTATAGCTGAGCTAAGGAGAAACAAGGCACACAGAGCCAAATGCATGCAGATCCAGCTATCAGCAACTCATCTTAGATCTTCTTCCATTCCCCATTTGGGCTTCATTCTCTAAGACCCCTTGGCCTTTAGGAAGGTATAGTATTTAAGAAATACTTCTTTCCCTTCCAAATCCCTGAGCCTCAATCCTTATAAACTGACAGGTTTCCGGGAACTCGTGCCCTTTTGTCCCGACTCACATGCTGTTATTTAAAATCATGCTGAGCTTGAAAATCCCCAAAGCTTTGATGAGCTAGACAATGTAGCTGATCTTTGCATGTACTCCTCTGAGAAAACTCTTGGCTATATAATTTTAGATTCCAAGGGTGCTGAATGTCCTAGTTTAATCATCAAGAAGTACACAACAAATAGAAATTCTTTGTTCTCTGATTACATAATATCATGACCTCTGTTCCCTTCCCTCCCTGCAATATGCCTCTTCTTCCACCACACTTATGCGGGGTATTCTGTGCTCACACAGGTATGTGTCAGCAATGACCACCCCGGCTCGTATGTCACCTGTAGATTTCCACACGCCAAGCTCCCCCAAATCGCCCCCTTCGGAAATGTCTCCACCTGTGTCCAGCACGACGGTATCCGTGCCCTCCATGGCAGTCAGCCCCTTCGTGGAAGAAGAGAGACCTCTGCTTCTCGTGACACCACCGAGGCTGCGGGAGAAGTACGATCACCACCCTCCGCAATTCAACTCCTTCCACCACAACCCTGCACACGAGAGCAACAGCCTTCCCCCTAGCCCCTTGAGGATAGTGGAGGATGAGGAGTATGAGACCACCCAGGAGTACGAGCCAGCTCAAGAGCCTGTTAAGAAACTCGCCAATAGCCGGCGGGCCAAAAGAACCAAGCCCAATGGCCACATTGCCAACAGGTTGGAAATGGACAGCAACACAAGTGCTGAGAGCAGTAACTCAGAGAGTGAAACAGAAGATGAAAGAGTAGGTGAAGATACACCTTTCCTGGGCATACAGAACCCACTGGCAGCCAGTGTTGAGGCAGCCCCTGCCTTCCGCCTGGCTGACAGCAGGACTAACCCAGCAGGCCGCTTCTCTACACAAGAAGAAATGCAGGCCAGGCTGTCTAGTGTAATTGCTAACCAAGACCCTATTGCTGTATAAAACCTAAATAAACACATAGATTCACCCGTAAAACTTTATTTTATATAATAAAGTATTCCACCTTAAATTAAACAATTTATTTTATTTTAGCAGTTCTGCAAATAGAAAACAGGAAAAAAAACTTTTATAAATTAAATATATGTATGTAAAAATGTGTTATGTGCCATATGTAGCAATTTTTTACAGTATTTCAAAATGAGAAAGATATCAATGGTGCCTTTATGTTATGTTATGTCGAGAGCAAGTTTTGTACAGTTACCGTGATTGCTTTTCCACAGTATTTCAGCAAAATCTCCCATATATTCAGTTTTTGCTGGCTTCTTGTGCATTGCATTATGATGCCAACTGGATGTATGATTTGCAAGACTTGCAACTGTCCCTCTGTTTGCTTATAGTAGCACCCAATCAATATGTCTTGTAATGGCACATCCATCCAAATAGTCTTCTCTTTTGTATGAAGTTTTCTTTTGCTTTCAGTATATGAAATGAGTTGTGTCTACTCTGCCAGCCAAAGGTTTGCTTCATTGGGCTCTGAGATAATAGTAGATCTAACAGCATGCTACTATTAATTACAGCAGGAAACTGCATTAAGTAATGTTAAATATTAGGAAGAACGTAATACTGTGATTTTTAAAAACTATATTATTAATCAGAAGACAGCTTGCTGTCATTAAAAGGAGCTACCATTTATTTTTATTTTTTTCTTGATCAAAAGCAACAGTTTGGAGATAGCATAGGCAATGGGTTCTGGCTTGCTATCCGAGTAAATTGAATACCTTATAACAGGACTCAGTTTCACTCTCTTGGGGGGAAATGATACAGCAGCTCATCTAGTTGATGATCAAACCATGGCTGGAAAAGGTGCAATCATTCCTGACTTGTACTTTTCACTGACTGGGGGATTAGTGATTATCGTGTCTTCTTGGTTCAAGAAGGGAAATGTGTAGCACAAATTGTCCATCTTACACAGCATACTCTGCAATTTGTCTGAAATATGTCCAGAGTGAAATGTGCGTGTTGTACAATATAGTGGTTACTTGATGTGATAGAAAACTATTTTCATCATAGAGTGTCTAGGTGTGAACTTACAGAAGACACAAGTCAAGAGTAGTAGTGTAACTTGGTTATAATTTTTAAAATTTTGTTGCCCACTCTTTCTCATTATCTTTTCTCATTTTTCAATGATGTCTTGATTAGGTCATAATGATGCATGAACATTTTTGTCAGGAATGGCCAACGCGCATGAGATTTGTGATTAGTAAGAACTTTCCATGGGTGATGATTCATCAGGAAATGTCAGTACTGTTGGAAAGATTGCACCTTTACTTGCAGAAGAGATCCCCACCTGTGTGCAGACCTCTCAGGTTGCAGCCTGTATGACCCATTTCCTCTCAGTTTTCCTTTTTTGCTTTACTGTCACCAAACAGCACTTAGACTGGTCTAAATTTTGCATGTTCTTTGTGATTGCAAATCCAAAGAAGTCCTACAGGAAATAACATTTGAAATAACTGCTAATTCAGAAAAATAAGATAATCATTTTAAAATGCAAGACCCATTGCCTGCTGTCTGTCAAATCCGGCTGGAGCTCTATATAGCTTCCAGTTGGCCTCCAAGGAGCCATTTGACAAAATGGAAAACAGATAGCAGGAAGGGTCAAAATAATGGTCATGAAGTTAATGAGAGTAACTGCTTGTTTCAGGTGAACTGAACCTATTTCTAGTCACCAAATTTCCATGCTGAAATTAAAGTGACATGCAAGTAGGTCTTATAAGAATAGGAGGCTGGGCATGAGTCATGTCAATAATCCCCACTTGTTTCTATAATCCACAGAGATGCCTGTGTGCAGGTCCTGGAAGTTACAGTATCCCAAGCTGCCTTCATTGTTCATCTACCACTTTCTCTGTGCCCAACAGTGTCCTCCTTTGCTTTTTAACTCACACTGAGGTACCTCTACCAGGCCGCACAAGTTGCACTGATTTCCTAATTCTGTAGAAATGAGTAAACTCATAGCAGGAGGAAGAAGACAGTCAACACAGGGGTTCTCTAAATCATTCTAATATTGCCTTTGAAGGTCTTGACTCATTCTTAGATTGTTTCAATAGTGAAATTTCTACCATTAATTAAAGTTCTAAAATGTTTGTTTCAAATTCTTCAGGCACTGGAATTCTCCATTCTGGAGAATTTCAGGAATCAGTAAAATTTTCTGTTAAAAGCAATGAACAACATTTTCCTCGGTATGAAAATTGCTGTAAATTTTCTAGTTGCAAATATATAGATTAAACTTTAAGACAACTTGCTTTTGGTCACATGCAGAGGTGGCAAATTAGTTGGGACACATTTCCATCTGTGAAACAAGAGCTTTTCTTGATTGGTTACCAGCTGGGGCCACCATATTTGTGATGCAGGGACACTTCTGTGATGTTGGCTCTCAATCATCCCTGCATTATAAACTCAATCAGTTCGATGGTCATCCAAAGAAGGAGCATGACCTGATTTTCTCAGTGTATGTGGAATGCTTTTGTGGGTTTACAGGTAGTGGAAATTGCCCAGAAATTAAACAGCAACTTCATTTTCTAGGTCAGAAATCCTATCTCCGTGAGGAGTATGTAATGCAGCATAGTTTATGCAAAACTCCTTTTTCTCATCCAAGATTCCTTTTCTGTCCTACGCTCCCTTCTTGCTGGTCTGATGCTTTTTTCAAGAGTGCCTGCACAGCCTTGTGCTTTCTACAAAATGGCACTCTGCCTGAGTGTATGTGAATGTGTCCCAAACACCAAGAAGCCGTATCTTCCTTGTTTAAGTGTGACTGTCGACAATAGTGGAATTTATCCAGGGTAACTTGCTCGGTAACTATTCCTTTCTTTGGCCTGAGGTTGAAAGGTGCGTGGCTCACATTGGTGAAAATAAGGAAGGTCTGGTCTTATCTTTTAGAACTGGCTGCGTTCCACCAGCCACAAAGATTTCTATCCACAAAGGCCCATTAAACACTGCAGAGAAATGCAGACAAAAGGAAATGGCCACATATCACAAGTTCTATTATATATTCTTTTGTAAATACACAATGTACATTACTTGGATGTTTTCCTAAATCATTTACTGTCTTTATGAGTTAATGTCAGTTTGCTACTCTCTCAACTTAGACTGTGTAACATTGTAAATAACATAATGTCCTTTATTATTTATATTTAAGCATCTAACATAGAGTTGTTTTCATATAATTTGAAGATAAATGTCAAAAATATGTTTTTTTTGTTTTTCTTTGCTTTAAGATTATGTATCTTTTCCTTTTCCTTTTTTAAGAATAATTTATTGTTCAGGAGAAAGATGTATATGTAATTGAAATTATTTGAAGAATGCACATTGAAGGCCGTGAGGTACTGATAAACTAAAGAATTTATTATCCAAAATACTAAGCAATAAGTAATTGTGATTTATTTAAAGTTTTGTTCATTTTCCATGAAAGACATACTGCAATAAAAATGCTACTCTGTGGAGACCTGGGAGTATTGCTCAGCAGACTAATGTCTCAGTCTGTTAGACCAGCTCCTGTCATCCTACTGTGACAGCCGTGCTCATTTAGGAATGTCGGACCCCATGATCATCCTGTCTGTCCATTGCTTTTGCCACCCTGCCTATCTTGACATCCCTGGCCTGTTGACTCTGCTTACCACTGTAGTACCCGCTGAAGGGCCAACAGCCAAGCAATACAATACCCCCCTCCCCCATCCACAATACCATCCCAGAGAGGACATTTAGGACATGACTGCGTGGGTCCCAGCGACTGCTGGGAGTGTCACAATGACAATCTGATGCAGTCATGAAAGGAAGAACTTACCAGGATTCCAATAGTCTGATGGCCCCTATGACCTAAAAGACGGCCAGTCAGAACCTGGCCTTGTCAAGTTTCAGCAAATTATTTTCTTTCAGGCCCATCATTTATTGATTCACAGTTTTAAGGGATGAGAAGGCTAACTTGGCTTCTTTCCCCTCATTCTATCAATAAATCAAACTAAACTCCCATCTTACTTCTCAGGGAGGGGCCCATGCATGAGAAAATTCCCACATTATAACACTTAGTCATAGAAGCGAGGATATTAAGTTTATTGAAATTAGCCTAACCAAAAGCCATATTTTAACAATAGATATTTGCATGGAAGGTACTTTTTATATATTTCAAGCATTTTACTCGTTATTCCAGAGAGGATAAGGGCTTCTGAAGTATAAGGAATAGAGGTCAGCAATTCCTAAGGGTTACACAGTAGCCTCTTTTGGAGTTTAAGGGTATGCTGAGGTTTCCCATTAAAGTTCACCTCCATCTGCGCATATGATTCCTATTACCTAGTAATAGTTCCACTAGGGCATCATTGCTAAAAGTCTGGATGTCTAGGAGATACAAATTATGGCCTTTGACTGTGTTAGTTTTTACTATTTATATTACTGAATTTTCAGAGCTATTTAGAATCCTCATAATTGTTTATGAGGATTTGGTTTACACATGCACACACATATGCATACACACACACACATGCACACACATGATATCCTGAAGCTGCTACATCCTTTCAGATTTTCTATCCAGCCAACCAGCCACTCAGCAAACCAAGGAGTGCATAGACTATTTAAAAATTAAATACTGAGACACTTTTGTAGCTTCAAGTTTGTGCTGAGGCTTTAATCCACCCTTCCCCAGATTGAAAACTCACAAACAGCAGTCTTAGTAATTTAAGTTAAAGTCAGGTACCTATGATCTATTGATATTTGAAGCAGAAGCTTGGGTGGTGAAGGGTAGGATGGAGAGAATGAAGATTCATATAGAGCCAAATTGAAAATCTGGAAAATTATAACAATTCTCCATTCACTTCAACCATGTAAACTCCTGAATGTCACACCAAAGCCAGTTCTGCAAACTAGCAAACATTCTGTCTTTCCAATCTTATATACTTCCCCATCATTCTTTGTTATCTGCCCTGATGATGAGTGACAAGAGGACATGATGTCAGGTATTTGCGTTAAATAGGCATTTCTGAAATCTAGAGATTTAGGATACTGGAAGGAGTAGAAATTTTGATGATCATATGTGAATCACTTTGCACTCTCTCTGGCTTGCCCTCTCTAAAACAGATGGAATAAAATAAATTTATGAGAACTATTACT